CCGGGGATAGATTATGAAGAAACTTATTCCCCAGTAGTTGATGCAACTACGTTGAGATTTTTGATAGGCATGTCTGTATTTGAAAAACTTCAAATGCGTTTAATGGATGTAGTGACAGCATATTTATATGGATCTCTCGATACTGACATATATATGAAAGTTCCTGGAGGGCTAAAGATGCCTGAGGTTTATAGTTCAAAACCTCGAGAGATGTTTTCCATAAAATTGGAAAAGTCACTATATGGACTAAAACAATCTGGTAGAATGTGGTATAATCGTCTTAGTGAATATCTTCTCAGAGAAGGATACAAAAATGATCCAATTAGTCCATGTGTTTTCATCCGTAGATCTAAATCAGGCTTTGCCATTATTGCAGTATATGTTGATGATTTAAACATCATTGGAACTTCTGATGAAATAGAAAATACTGCAAAATATCTCATGAGAGAATTTGAGATGAAAGATCTTGGGAGAACAAAATTCTGTCTTGGTCTTCAAATTGATCATTTGAAAGACGGAATATTCATCCACCAGTCAAATTACACGAAGAAGGTTCTGAAGCGGTTTTATATGGATAAAGCACATCCTCTCACATCCCCGATGGTTGTTCGCTCTCTTAATGTACATGATGACCCATTCCGACCTCGTGAAGATGATGAAGAAATACTCGGTCCAGAAATACCATACTTGAGTGCTATTGGAGCTTTGATGTATCTAGCAAACAACACTCGGCCAGATATTGCATTCTCAGTGAACTTGTTAGCCAGACACAGCTCGACCCCGACTAGGAGGCATTGGAATGGCATTAAACACATTTTGCGATATCTCAATCGTACCATCGACCTTGGTTTATTCTACCGCAAAGATGCCAAGGCCACTCTTGTTGGATACGCTGATGCAAGATATTTGTCTGATCCGCAAAAAGCAAAATCTCAAACAGGATATGTGTTTACTTATGGAGATACCGCAATATCATGGAGATCGATGAAACAAACTTTGACTGCCACATCATCAAATCACGCGGAGTTGATAGCTCTCTACGAAACAGGTAGAGAATGTGTATGGTTGCGATCAATGATCCAACATATCCAGAGTGGGTGCGGTATAGAAACAATTACTAGTCATCCGACTCCTATATATGAAGACAATACTGCATGCATTGCTCAAGTGAAAGGAGGTTACATCAAAGGAGACCGAACAAAGCATATATCACCAAAGTTCTTCTCAACACATGATCTCGAGAAAGATGGAAAAGTTGACATCAAGCAAATCAAGTCCAGTGAGAATCTCGCTGATTTATTTACAAAAGCGTTACCCCCGAAGAAATGTGAAGAACTCGTACACAAGATTGGCATGCGTCGCCTCCGTCAATTATGCTAAGCTGAGGGGGAGAATTTTATGAACTGTACTCTTTTTCCCTTGATCAGGTTTTTATCCCACTGGGTTTTTCCTGACAAGGTTTTTAACGAGGCAGTACATAAAATTAGAATGAGTTTCTAAACTATACCCATTTCACGAATACCCATCATCAATTGAAAAATGAACATTAAAGGGGGAGTGTTAAGAAAAATATGAATTGTTCATTTATCAATTAATTAGGTCATGCTCCATCATAAGTTGCAGGAACAAATTGTCCATCATTATTCATCACCATCAAGTTGTCATTTGTATAGTATGTATACTGTTTGTAATAGTGTTAGTACTAAGCCTCTCTACTATAAATAAGAGGCTTAGGATCCCTGTAAATTACCATTAAGAACAATAAGAAGAGTGAAGAATCAATAAAGAAGAAATCAGAAATATATCATATTTATCTTCCTAATTTCTGAATAGTTTTTTTTTCCTCATTTTATAACACTCTGCATTTTTTGGCTTGAATTTCTTTTTTCTAACCAAAGTAATGGATTTGCTTTGCAAAACCCTAAACCCACGCTTCTTGTGGCAGATGCTATAAAGCCACAACAAATGGTACTCCCCTTGTTTGTGCGCCGGGAAAATGGCCGGCCCGTTGCTCCGTTTCCTCTGGTCTACTTCCAGAAGATCTTTCTCCTCCGTCTCCTTCTTCGATCTAAACCCACACGACTATACACGGCTTGCTAGATCTGCACGCGCCTTCTCAGCCGCCACAGCCACAGCCCCTGCAGCCGCCACTGGTGGCGCGGTAGAGCCCAGACTGCTGAGGAACGTGGCCGTCATAGCTCATGTCGATCACGGCAAGACCACTCTCATGGATCGGCTCCTCCGCCAGTGCGGCGCTGACATCCCCCACGAGCGTGCCCTTGATTCTATCAGCCTCGAGCGCGAACGCGGCATCACAATTGCTTCCAAGGTTCAGCTCTTACTCTTCATTACTGATTTTTTGTCTTCTTCACATTTTGGGTTTAGTAAAGTTGTGGGAGATGAAGTGAAATCTTATCAAAGACTCAATAGTTCAGATAATGAGCTGATAATAAATGATCTTTAACGATTGAGTTACATTAGACAATTACAGAGTATTAGTGAAAACAAGAAGAAATGCAATGTAACTATTCCAAGCTTATACTTTAACCAAAACAACAACAGCAAATCTTTGTCCCATCAGTTGAGGTTGTCTACAAGGATCGAACGTCGCCATTGCGCCTTATCAAGGATCATATCTGCTCCATCACTTATTGCTTAACTTATACCTTAACTATTAGGAGAAAAAATGATTTTAAAATTCTACAATGAATCTGAATTAAATATTAACAACCACTAAATCATAGTATGGTTTTACAAATCATTGCAATGATTTTTCTTGAAAATAAGAGAGTTCAAGTGAAGTTTCTTAGGGGTTCCAAAATTAGAATTATGCCATAAATCCCATAATGGCTACACATTTGTCAAGAAATAGAGCAAAGAGCCAAAGACCAGGCAAGTCAGCCAACTGCTCCCCTTGTTGAATCACACCAATAATCATTTTACAACCCGGACAAAGTTCCACCGCTTGAACTCCCTTCACCTACAACAAAAGAGATAACTTCCTAACAAGTCATTGCCTCTAGCCGTGAGAACACCGCATGCACCCATTAAGTACTGCCACAAAGTCTCTTTCCGTTGAAAAACAAAACGCATCCAAAACACGCCATATTTGTTTGAGGAAACAATTTAGCGTCAACCATGCACTGTATCACGGTTGGGACCTGTTGACCTTCTGCTACACTATCGTGTGTCGGTGTAAGTCCTCCCCACAACAAGCCCACTGATGGTCCATTCGACCATTCCAAACACGAGCTCAAATTTCACTTGCGATAATAGGGCTTTCCATTCCCAAAATGTAACATTTCTTGCCATCAAAATTGCCCAAATGTTTGTGCCAATTCCCGCAACTCTCTCAACGAGTTCAATTGGGCATGAACTTAAAAATATTTGCTGAACGATATGGTAGCTGGTAGACCACGGTCCCCCGGTCTACCAAGATCCTCCATGACCTCCCTAAAAGAGTAAACAAGGAGACATCTATTGCCTCCCCGGTCAAATGATGATAGTCGTCCTTGACTGTGTACATTTGCCTAATGTCATTAAACATCTTTATGCCAAACATTCAAAGGCACTCGAAGAATCTAAGACAAATCTCATGGCTCAAATGAATCCTTCACCCTGTGTTATCCCATGAACCAGTAGCGTGATCCACAAATTTGTTGACCTGCACTGCCGCCATCTGCTCTGGCATCGGTGTTCTAAGATAAGGGTTCACATCATCCATCAATCAAGGATCTCCCCACATTATATTTCTGCATCATCTTCAATATGTTGCCTCACCCCACCCCTTATTAAGTCATAGGCAGCCAATATACTACTCCAACAGTAGCTAGATATATTTCCAAGCCCCACCTCTAAAAAGATGATGTAGGAAAGTACCTAATTTTGAACATCAAAGTGACTGGATCTGAGTTGATTAAAAATTGCCACCACTGCTTACCGAACACATAGCAATATTGAAAGCATGTTCTCTTTGTCTGATCTGATTGGTTGTACTTTGATTTTATTAAGATTCGATCTGGTCTGATCTAATCAAATCTGATTTGATTTGATTCAAGTTATATTTAACATTGTTTTTAATTAGTTTTTCTAATTTCTTATAGTTTTTTTAACTGATTCCAGCCTGTTACAACATCCAATTCTATTTTCCAACTTAAAAGAACGAATTCTTATTGCGTGTTTTGTGTGTTGTTTGTATAATGTTGAACTTAATACTACTTCTGTCTCAATGATTTTTTCCAGTTTGATTTTTTTTTTTGTGTCAAACTAAATAGATTTTAATTGCTCCTCTAAATTAACTAAAATTTACATTACACATTGGTATAAAAACAATTTAACTTTTAATATATTTTTAAATATTATTCCTTTTTTTATTAAAAAGATTATTCCTTTAATTAATATAAATGTAACATTTTTAATTAAATAATAATCAATTTTTTTAGTTTGATTTAAACAAATTTAAATTGAACAAACTCATTAGGATAGAGTGTAAAATAATCAAAGGTATGTCAACCTACTGTAATTTGTAGACCATAATACTTTATTGATAGTAAAGATTAATTAGTAATTTTAATATACACTATATATTTTTGTAAATGTATTTTTTAATTCAAGAATTTACTTTGATAAACCATGTTTTATTAGTTCTAAATAATTACTACTCAATTTTCTTGTAAAATTAATTTTATACTACTAGTATTAAAAGTAAGTGTTGCACTCTAATAAAAAGTGTTGCACAATTCAAATAGGTAAATAAAGATGATAAAATTGTGCTCATATGAAGTAAGATTCCTTCAAGCGCCAAACACTAGAATTTTTTTAATCATAAGTGGAGTATTTGATTTTTTCATTTAAATATAATAGTGATAAACAAGCATTAAAAAAAGAGATGAACAGGTTTTTTTTATAATTTACTTGGCACATGGGAATGGAAAGACAAAGAAACAAAAATTAAATGCTGATAAAGGAGGGTCCTCTAAGGTCTGAACTGAGAAGCGACCTCAAATCGTCCGGAGGGTTCTCGAGAATAACAAGATCTTGATCTCCTGTAGCATCTTTCTTTGCTAGGATGTTTTTTTTTAAATTTATCACATTATCTTTTCTTCTTATGTTTCTCTTCAACCAAACATAAAAAAGAATGTCTCTTTTTATTCTCCTTATTTTTCTTGATTTTCTATTTATTCATACAACAACTATCATCTCTCTCTCTTTTTTTCTCTCCATTTTTTTCTCTTCATTTTTTTTGGCTTGAATGTCTTTTTCCAACAAAAGTAATGGATTTGCATTGCAAAACCCTAAACCCACGCTTCTTGTGGCAGATGCAATAAAGCCACAACAAATGGTACTCCCCTTGTTTGTGCGGTGGGAAAATGGCCCGCCCGTTGCTCCGTTTTCTCTGGTCTACTTCCAGAAGACCTTTCTCCTCCGTCATCTTCTTCGATCTTATCGATCTTAACCCACACGAGTATACATGGGTTACTAGATCTGCACGCGCTTTCTCAGCCGCCACAGCCACAGCCCCTGCAGCTGCCAATGGTGGCGCGGTAGAACCCAGACTGCTGAGGAACGTGGTCGTCGAAGCTCCTGTCGATCACTGCAAGACCACTCTCATGGATCTAATCCTCCGCCAGTGCGGCGCTGACATCCCGCACTAGCGTGCCCTTTTCTATCAGCCTCGAGCGCGAATGCGGCATCACATTTGCTTCCAAGGTTCAGCTCTTATTCTTCATTACTGATTTTTATCTTCATCACATTTTGGCTTTAGTAAAGTTGTGGGAGATGAAGTGAATTCTTATCCAAGACTCAATAGTTCAGATAATGAGCTGATAATAAATGATCTTTAATGATTGAGTTACATTAGACAATTATAGAGTATCAGTCAAAACAAGAAGAAATGCAATGTTATTAGTCCAAGCTTATACTTTAACCAAAACAACAACAACAACAAAGCATTTTCCCATCAGTTGAGGTTGTCTACAAGGATCAAACGGCGCCATTGCGCGTTATCAAGGATCGTATGTGCTCGACCACTTATTGCTAAACTTCTACTTTAACTATTAGGAGAAAAAACGATTTTAAAATTCTACATTGAATCTGAATTAAATATTAACAACCACTAAATCATAGTATGATTTTACAAATCATTGCAATGATTTTTCTTGAAAATAAGAGAGTTCAAGTGAAGTTTCTTATTGGTTTCTAGATCTCGAAACTTTATTCCAAACAATTGGGCCTATCTACTTGTATCTTTGGCAATGATGACAAAGGTTGGTGGTACGGCGGCTACCATGTGCTTGGTAGTAGTGTGATGATTCATTTTAGGAGGTATACTTTTGAGCCATTAGCGAAATAGTATGTAGAAATATAGCTCAAGATGATTTTACTCCATAGAGTCCCTTATCACTTATGCGGGTTGGGGGTTGCCATTTTGATTGCATATTTGTGCACAAACTCACTTGAACCATCATATCAGGTACTCCCTTCGTCCCATCAAAATTGTCCCACTTTGAAGTTTGGGAATTTCAAGAAAAATATTGAAAAATGAAAAGTATGGTTGGGATTCATACAGAGGAGAATGGAATTATTAAAACTGCATGTTCATCCCTAAAAGGAATATACCCCGTAACACTTTTTTGGGTGGCCAAATAATGAAAGCAAAACAATTATTGAGGGATGGAGTGCGGATGGAAGGAGTACCTTATTTTTGAAGAATTTTTACATACCAATGATTTCATTTGTTTGCTTGAAGTAGTTTACTATCAACAGTTTTTGATTTAGAACTTCCGATTGTCCTGCTTCTATTTGACCCTTTATTTGTCATCATGTTCTCTTTTTGGCTTGTAAATCTCCAAACTCTATTCCAAAAGACTCTTCTATATGCCTGCTTTCAATGAGTAAGTGGCAGTGTGGTACTGACAATGACGAGCAAAGGCCGGTCGTATGGCTGCTGCCTTGTGCTTGGTAGTAGTGTGATAATATGTTTTAAGAGGTAATACCTTCTGAGCCAGTGGTATAATGTACTTACTGTATGTATACCTTTTTCGTAATGATGATTTTCTTTATCTTATTAAGCAAGGTTCCTCCCAATTGTTTCTTTATCTTATACATATTACTCCTGGCATTTTGCTCTCCAGAACATCCATTTGTCCGGCTTCTCTTTTACCCCGTATGTGTCCATGTCTTGTTGGTTTCTAGATCTCAAAACATAATTTCTACATGCTTGCTTCCATTAGTAAGGATGACCAAAGGCCGGTCATACAGCTGCCCCCTTGTGCTTGGTAATAGTGTGATAATATGTTTTAAGAGGTTTACCTTCTGAGCCAGTGGTGTAATAATTTACTTACTGAATATATAAATTTTGCATAATGATGATTTTCTTTATCTTATTAAGTAAGATTACTCCCAGCAGTTTCTTTAGCTTATTAATATTACTCACAACATTTCTCTCTCCAGAGCATACATTTGTCCTGTTTCCCTTTTCCCCATATTTGTTTCCATGTCTTATTGGTTTTTAGATCTCTAAACATTATTTTTTTATATGCTTGCTTCCACTGGCAAAGATGACAAAAGGCCGGTTGTACGGGGCTGCTGCCTTTTCCGTGGTAGTAGTGATGATATGTTTTAAGAGGTATACCTTCTGAGTCAGTGGTATAATGTACTTACTGTATGTATAAATTTTCAAGTGGTGATGATTTTCTCTATCTTATTAAATGAGATAACTCCCAACAGTTTCTTAATCTTATTATTACTCCTCCCGACATTTCTCTCTCTAGAACATTGATTTGTCCTGCTTCTCTTTTGCCACCTATTTCTCTCAATGTCTTATTGGTTTCTAGATCTCTATTCTCTAAAGAAATTTTCTATATGGCTATATGCTTGTTTCATCTGGCAATGATGACAAAAGGCCGGTCATACGGCTGCTGCCTTGTGCTTGGTAGTAGTGTGATGATATGTATTCAGTGGTATAACTTCTGAGCCAGTTGTGTAATTTACTTATTGAATTTATAAATTTTGTGTAATGATGATTTTCTTTATCTTATTAAGTACAATTACTCCCAACAGTTTCTTTATCTTATTAATATTACTCCCAATCTTTCTCTCTCTAGAACATCCATTTTCGAATTTCGTGCTTTTCTTTTACCCCATATTTGCTTCCATGTCTTATTGATTTCTAGATCTCTAAACATTATTTCTATAAGCCTGCTTCCACTGGCAATGATGACAAAAGGCCGGTCGTACGGCTGCTGCCTTGGGCTTGGTAGTAGTGTGATGATATGTTTTAAGAGGTATACCTTCTGAGCCAGTGGTATAATGTACTTACTGTATGTATAAATTTTGCTGTGGTGATGATTTTCTTTTTCTTAATAAATAAGATTAGTCCCAACATTTCTTTTATCTTATTAATATATTACTCCTGACATTTCTCTCTCTAGAAATCCATTTGTCCTGCTTCTCTTTTACCCCCTATTTTCTGAATGACTTGTTGGTTTCTAGATCTCTATTCCTTTTTTTCTATATAATTATATGCCTGTTTCCTCTGGCAATGATGACAAAAGGCCGATCATACGGCTGCTGCCTTGTGCTTGTAGTAGTGTGATGATATGTTTTAAGAGGTATCCCTTCTGAGCCAGAGGTATAATTTACTTAATGAATGCATAACTTTTGCATTATGATGATTTTTTTAAATCTTAGTAAGTACGATTACTCCCAACAGTTTCTTTATCTTATTAATTTTACTCCCAAGATTTCTCTGTCTAGAACATCCATTTGTCCTGCTTTTCTTGTACCCGATATTCGTTTCCAAGTCTTATTGGTTTCTTGTCTCTAAACATTATTTCTCTATCCCTGCTTCCACTGGCAATGATGACAAAAGGCCGGTCGTACGGCTGCTGCCTTGTGCTTGGTAGTAGTGTGATGATATGTTTTAAGAGGTATACCTTCTGAGCTAGTGGTATAATGTACTTACTGTATATACAAATTTTCCAGTGATGATGATTTTCTTTATCTTATTAAATAAGATTACTCCCAACAGTTTTTTATCTTATTAATGTTACTCCCAACATTTTTCTATTTAGAACAGCCATTTGTCATGCTTCTCTGGCAATGATGACAAAAGGCCGATCGTACGGCTGCTGCCTTGTGCTTGGTAGTAGTGTGATGATATGTTTTAAGACGTATACCTTTTGAGCCAGTGGTATAATGTACTTATGAATTTTGCATAATGATGTTTTTCTTTATCTTATTAAGATTAGTCACAACAGTTTCTTTATCTTATTAATATTACTCCCGGCATTTTTCTCTCTAGAACTTCCATTTGCCCTTCTCTTTTACCCCCTATTTATCTCCATGTCTTATTGGTTCCTAGATCTCTAAACATTATTCCAAACATCTGGACCTATCTACTTGTATCCTCTGGCAATAATGACAGAAGACGGTTCATATGGCTGCTGCCTTGTGCTTGGTAGTAGTGTGTTATGTTTTAGGAGGTATACCTTCCGAGCCAGTGGTATAATGTACTAATTGTATGTATTGATTTCTTTTGTTTCTTTGAGGTAGATTACTTCACAGGCAACAGTTGTCTCTAGAACTTCGGATTGTCCTGCTTCCCTTTGACCCTCTAGTTTTTTCTACGTTCTCTTATTGGTTTGTAAACCTCCAAACTTTATTCCAAAAGACTCTTCTATCTGCCTGCTCCCACTGGCAATGATGACAAAAGGCCAGTCCTACGGCTGCTTTCTTGTGCTTGGTAGTAGTGTGATGATATGTTTTACAAGGTATACCTTTTGGGCTGGTGTTATAGTGTACTGTATGTAGAAGTTTTGCATAATGGTGATTTTGTTTATCTTTTAAGTTGGTTTACTCATTACTCCCAACAGTTTTTTTCTAGAACTTCCCTTTGCCCTGCTTCTCTTTAACCTCTATTTGTTTCCACATTTTCTTATTGGTTTCTAAATCTCTGAACTTTATTCTAAATAACTGGACCTATCTATCTGTATATATTGGCAATGATGACAAAATTCTAGTTATATGGAAATGGATGCTGTCACTTGCTTGGTAGTAGTGTGATGATATGATTTAGGAGGTACACCTTCTGACCTAGTGGTGACGTAGTATGCGGAAATTTTGCATAGTGTGAGATTACTCCACAGACTGACCAGTGTGTGTATTAAACATGTATAGCTTACTACATTCTGCAAGAGAATCAAGAATGGTAGATGTGTGTGTGTGTGCAGCATACCAACATCATTTCTTTTTTTTATTGGTTGCAGGTTACTTCCCTGTCCTGGAAAGAAAATGAGCTGAACATGGTTGACACTCCTGGACATGCAGACTTTGGTGGTGAGGTATGCACCTGTTTCCCTTAGGAAAATTCCATTTGCTGCAAGTTTTCTTGCTTGTTTAGGATAATTAACTTAGAGTATAACCTTCTTTACACTTACTATTGGAATTATGTGGATTGACATTAAGTAAAGAATTTTTACCATTAATTTTTTTTTGAAATAGGTAGAGCGTGTAGTTGGCATGGTTGAGGGAGCGATTCTTGTTGTTGATGCGGGTGAAGGACCACTTGCACAGACAAAATTTGTTCTTGCCAAGGCGCTGAAATATGGTTTACGCCCAATTCTTCTTCTAAACAAAGTAGACAAGCCTGCAGGTATTTCATACAAGAATTCTTTCTACCTTTATCTTAACATGGTAATCCCATTTTTAGCTTCTCTCTAGGGTCTAATAATTCACATGGGGTAAAGGGCCTTACAAATATCGTCTTCTTCTTGTTAATATGGACAGACAACCGTAGAGATTTGTTCATAGAGCACCAATTGTGCCAACAAATTGAGGGATTTGATTTACATGACTTATCTGATTTATCCAGTTTCCATTTTGGATTTAAGTACTGCATTCAGACTAAAATTCTGACATTCTGTTGATGCAACCATAATAACTTAATATCAGCTACACATACATAAAAACTACCCAGTAGAATCACACGAAAGTATGGTATGGGGAGGGTGTGTACACAGACCTTACCCCTAATTGAAAGTAGAGAGGCTGTTTCCATGAGACCCCAACTCCAGCAATACGAACAACGCACAGCATGAAAATCTGCTAACAATAAATAAATTTTCAAAAATAACGTGTGCTGAGGTAAGTTAATCTTTGCAATGTTTAAATTTGGATTTAGAGTGCCACTTTCAGGCTAAAAATCTGCTAATACAACCGTAATAATTTAATTCCAGCTACATGTACATAACAATACATATTTGTTCACTTACTTTTTCAAGTAAAACTGACCTCAAGGTCCGACCAATGGTAAGTTTTCAGATAACTTGATCATTATTAGTATCCCGAGTTTTTTATTGTTTCTTTGACTTGTGTCCTATGCATCTGACTTTAATGGTTTTGATTGTTTTCCTGTAGTTACTGAAGAGAGATGCAATGAGGTTGAGATTCTTGTCTTTGACCTTTTTGCAAACCTGGGAGCTTCAGGTTATATTCCATAGTAACTCGTGCTCTTTTGTCATTGTGTGTAATCCTTTTATCTGTTAAAATCATTTTATATTGTATGGTGATCTACGGAGGCATAGCCAGAAAGAGATGTGATGGATTTATGATTGGAATAGTTGTTTGCTAAATTGTGTATCTTCCTTTCTTTTCAGAGGAGCAATTAGATTTTCCAGTTCTTTATGCGTCTGCCAAGGAAGGATGGGCATCAGCAGCCTATACAAAAAGTCCACCAGACAATGCCAAGGATATGTCCGAATTGCTTGATACAATTGTACGGGATGTTCCTCCACCAAGTGTCAACCTGGATGCACCGTTTCAGATGTTGGTTGGTACCCAAATAGTCAATATTTTAATACATGCACTGATGCACTAAAACATTTGCTCTGTATATTTTTGTTGATGTATGCAATTTTGTGGAAACATGTGCATTAGTGTTTATAAGTGCTTGTGAACAACTCTGTTGATGTGTGCTATTACTACTTTTTGGCACTTGCATGAATTAACTTAGTTTGACATTGTTTGACATGCATACATCTTGGGAAATCTTTTTTTGGAGATAATTGTATTTTTATTTTATTAAACACATCCAATGGATATAATTCATTCTTATTTCTTTCATTGAGACTCATTCTTATTTCTTACCGGACCCACCCCTATATATATATATATATATATATATATATATATATATATATAGAAAAGAGTGACAAGCACCTGCAATGCAATTATGCAAGTATTCTGACTATGATTCAATGTTTTCAGGAGGCTAGCAATTTAGTTATTTACTGCCTCTTTGGTGGATTCAAATCCCTGATTAATTAGCAAGTGCACAGTAATGCTTGCTTATTTACTGCCTTGCAGATATTCATTTATTTGGATCCAAGCCACTGATATGTTAGCATGGGGGTCACAGCTGATTTTTGAAGTGTCTCATTGTGATGTTAATATGTTTGGAATTTGTTGGAATAGCTAAAATGCAACTTGATTTTATCATCAAAATAACGATAAACATTTCTCCCCAAATAATGATAAAACTGATCTTCTTTCCCACCATTTAACACATTTGGTATTCTCCCTCATCTTTTGATTAGTTTAGCATGAGTTTTTTATTACAACTGTATTAAATAATCAGTACCTTTTTATTGGTATCTCACAGTAATGCCTTTCTCTGTTTAGCTAATTTGAAAGCATTGCCTAATACTTAATCACCTTTCAGGTTTCCATGATGGATAAAGATCCTTATGTTGGGCGAACATTAACTGGGCGTGTATTTTCTGGAGTTGTTCATGTTGGGGATAAAGTACATGGGCTACATAATACTGAGTCAGGGATTGTCAAAGTTGAAGAAGGAAAGGTTATTACTCTAAGATTTCCTTTATGACTACCAGACTTTTAAAGTTGGTATTCATGCCAAGTTCAATTTCACTACCTGGAGGAATTTTTAATCACAAATTTAAATCATTTCACTTTTCACTAGGGTGTGGTGGATACACTATCTTTAACACTCTGATCTATGCTAATTAGAGGAAAAAACTGAAACCACATTGCTAATACTCCAGTGTCATCATTGACACAAGATTGCTGCTGCTGCCCAACTTTCCATTTTTGTGAAAGATATAGGGGGATTGGGGCTAGTGACCTGAAGTTTAAGGTGTCAAGGAATTGTAAAAATATATTTATAACACAGACTGACAGACACTAAGATCTTGCAAAAGTGGATAGGGAGATGTGGAAAGAAAGTGAGGAAGAGTGAGGGGTGGGTGGGTCTTCAAACTTAGCCGTAAAGAGAAGTAAAAATTGTGAGATTGTATCTAAGGCTTGGATTTGTAGCCTAATTATTGACCACTTGAATACTTGACCTATGGAACAACTGCAACTTTGGAAACAACTTGATTATTGAAAACCACTTTCATTTGAAGTTCATGAAAGCATAGCTTTACGCTCGGCAACTGAGAATGACCTAGCCTCTGGATTATAACATTGGGATTAGATCCATGGATGTTTGGTATATATGCAATCTTTTCTTTAGTGTAATGTCAAACCAATGCAGTTCATTATACCGAACATTTAACTTTTGTGATTCTTTCTTGATTCATGAAATTAATGTCATGTTTTAGGTCACAAAATTGATGAAGAAGAAGGGTATGAGTGCAGTTTCAGTTGAATGTGCTGGTGCTGGGGACATAGTGTCAATGGCTGGCTTGGCAACTCCAGCAATTGGTCATACTGTTGCAAATGTGGAGGTGCTTAAAATATGTTTACTCTGAAGTTCCTTAATACTGTATTGGAGTTGTTTCCTGATTATACGGACTTTTTTACATCTAAGCACAATACATACCCATATGACTAGACAAAGAATACTTGTATATCTTATACAACAAGAAAGCTTTTAAATTACTGTCTACTAATAAAATTTTACAGGTTTTGTCAGCTCTGCCCACCGTTGATCTTGACCCTCCTACAATTTCCATGACTTTTGGTGTTAATGATTCTCCATTGGCTGGGCGTGACGGAACCCATGTAAGTAATTCCATTTTTTTCAGCAGACTAAGTTTTGAGCGGACTTCGCACCAAGTGAATAAAAAACTGTGATTTTGATAAACTAGTGAGTAGTGACACACCTGTTCTTTTGGGGGGGATCCTTTACAATTTTCTGGATCATTTTAAATTTCTTGCAGTTGACTGGAGGAAAAATTGGTGATAGGTTAATGGCAGAAGCAGAAACAAATCTTGCTATAAATGTTCTTCCCAGCACGTCAGAGTCATATGAAGTACAAGGGAGGGGTGAACTTCAACTAGGTGTGTTCTTTTTTAATCTTCCAATTCTTGATGGGACATCACTAATATTTTAATCTTCAGCTATCTCTCTTAAGACTTTTTCATCTTTAGTTCTGCTCTTATAGTATTGAATTACATTTTCCGTTGTCTAATTTAGGCATCCTAATTGAGAACATGAGACGCGAAGGATTTGAACTGTCTGTCTCTCCGCCCAAAGTCATGTAAGTTCTTTGCTTACTGTATTTGGTGGAATGTAGTTGTACTTTATTAGCCTTAAACAATAAACCAGTGAAATATAAAATTACCTGTCATTGGCACTTATTTATAAACGATATTGATGCATCGTATAACACACAGTGTTATCTTTTAGAATAATGAATGGTTTAGGTTTACTTAACCATTACAAGCTTGTTTCTCCTTTTATCCCAAAAGACTTGTTATTTGTTCCTCTACCAAATTTCAGAGATTTTCTAAAAGTTATTTCATGGACAGGTATAAATATGAGAAATCTCAAAAGCTTGAGCCTATTGAAGAAGTGACCATTGAGGTGTGTAATGAGTTGAGTGCTCATTTGTTTGGCTTCCATAGTATTTAATACATTTATGAGGGCATCGATTTGTTGAATAAAGGTTGATGCTGAGCATGTTGGTTTAGTCATGGAAGCACTCTCTCATAGGCGTGCTGAAGTGACAGACATGGGCCCTGTCCCAGGAAATGTTGGTAGGACAAGGATTTGTTTGACTTGTCCTTCAAGGTATGCTCTGTTTTCTTTTGTTGTATCCACACTCTCTTCTCTCCGGTAAGAAAAAGTGAAGCAAAATGTGATGTAGGTTCTTTAAGGTGATTGGTTTTGCATGTCAATTCATTTTTTCTTTTTCGTTGAATTATTGTCTTATGCGTAATCTTTTTGGGTCCAATTCTGATGTGCAAAATATATCACCCATACAACCTTCTCTACTTTATGCATCTCTTGTGATCTTTTTATTTGTGCAGCTTGAGCCGGGGGTCTCTTGTCAGCAGCCTCTCTACTTTCGAGTAGGGGCAAGGTCTGCCTACACACACCCTCCCCATACCCTACTTTCGTGGGATTCAACCGGGTTGTTGTTTTGGTGTGAGGCCAACTTTAGAAAAGCATGTACACTTTCTCTTACAAATAAAAGTAATAGAAATTCACAATTTGAGCTAAAGCTAACTTTTTTTAGCTTCAAATAAGTTATGTGCTAAATCAAATAAGCATATTAAACTTTGTTTCTTTCTTTCCATGGAAATTTGGATTGTATTGCAGCAATGTATCAACGAGTAAGGCTCTATACATCTGTACCCCCAAACCCCATGAAGTTGGGATTATATTCGGTTTTGTTATTGTTGTTCATGAGCTAAAAACATCTTTCCAGAAATACTATCACTGAAGGTCAGAAGCAACTTGAGGGAATTAAATACTCCCTCCATCCCATTGCAAAGTTTATGCTTTGACTTCATGATGTTTAAGATAAAAGTTGAAAGTAAAAAAATGAGTAGTTTGAATTTGTTTAAAAAAGGAATGTTTTGATTTTTGTGCCATGTTTTTCTTGCTAGAAAAAAAATGAGAAAAAGAATGAGAGGTGTAAACTTTGTGTTGGGACAAACAAGGAGGGAAAGCATAAACATTCCAACGGGACATAGGGACTATAAATTAATACTCCTTTGGTTCCCCAACCAACAATGAACTTGTGTGGTTGAGATTTATGTAGAGAAATAGTTTAGGTCATAAAAATCTTTCTATGAAAGAAAATGGGAACTTATTTTGGGACGTCCCGTAAAAGGAAAATTGTGAAGTTCTTTAGGGATCGAAGGGATTATGCTGTTAGATTTTGATGGAAATTCGAGATTGAAAATACTTTCGTTTCAAATTGTATTTAAGTTCTATTTGTAACAAGTAGAAATTGCTAAAAGATATGGAGGATTTTTCCCCATATATGATCACATGTTTTTATTACCTAGTAATAAATTAATGAGTAAGTCTAAAATGACACCAGTGCTACTGGTGTCATTTGCTTACACCAGTTCGTTTGGAGTATCTATGGTGCCCCGTTTGTAAAAATGACGGTTCCTACCCCCCGTTTGCTTAC